TGCCTCGCGTTAGATGGCGCCGAAGCGATACCACATTGCCGTCACCGTTGGCGAATCGTGGAAGCGTTTCGATGATGTTGTTCCCTCGGTAGTACTTACTCGAGCAGACACCGACTGAAACTACCACCACAACCTTTCGACACGCTGTGACTATCAACTAATTCGACATCTCTTGAAAGGCGTACGTTAAGAGTGTTCTGATGGAACCCTGGGGCTTTCGCTATATGTCTTTTTGCTTGTATGCAGCCTGATTGCTGACGAGAATCGTCTCTTCTTTTCTTCTCGCACACCCGATGCATTCGAACTGGCTTGACGAGCCATGAAGCCTTCCTTTTTTAACGATTAAATAGCACACTCTTGTTGGCAGCCGTTTCATCCGTTGATTTGATTTGTGGGGTTTAACGTCCCAAAACCACCATATGATTTTGAGAGACGCCGTAGTGGAGGGCTCCGGAAATTTCGACCACCTGGGGTTCTTTAACGTGCACCCAAATCTGAGCACACGTGCCTATGACATTTCCGCCTCCATTGGAAATGCAGCCGTCGCAGCTGGGATTCGAACCCGCAACCTGCTAGTCAGCAAGCCGTTTCATCCGTTGTCAATATTGAAGAACACTCTCTTTGCACCTTCAGTATATATTATGCTTATTTATATTACGTCTAGAAATGGTTATCGGGTGCGGAAGTCTGTTGCTAGCGTTAGTGAGTTGGTGATCAAAAAGTTATACTAGGTTCTTGAACATTTCACAAGGTTGTTACAGCTATACTACATAACACGTAAACTTCTGTTGTATTAGGGTCCTATAAGATATAATGTTGAGACGGCATTGCTCTTTGAAAAGTTAGTCAGTATACGTATCCGTTTTTAAGGGCGAAGCTCTTTACGCCGTAAGTCGTTTGTCCCGTGTTGTCGTCGTAGTGGTAGCCACCTCTCGTTTAGTCCTTAGAATGTCCGCTGGATGGCAGTACTTTTATATGATGAATATATGATGAAAAGATGCGAGATGGCGGTACTTGGAGTGTTCACTAGATGAACGGACGGATAGATGGACAGACCAACAGACAGATGGACGGATGGTTGGGCGTTTGAACAGACAGACAGACAGACGGACGGACGGACGGACGGACGGATGGTTGGATGAATGGTTGGTTGGATGGATGGATGGATGGATGGATGGATGGATGGATGGATGGATGGATGGATGGATGGATGGATCTGCTCCAAGGCAATATTAAAAAAAAGCGGATGCGAGGGTGTGGAGGTAGCAGTTTTCATTAGCTCAGGTTAACACTACTTTTTAACGCGAAGCATTTCTGAGATCTATTTGATCTGTCTGTCTGTCTGTCTGTCTGTCTGTCTGTCTGTCTGTCTGTCTGTCTGTTCGGCCGTCCGTCCGTCCGTCCGTTCATCCGTTCGCCCGCTTACGTCTGGGGGCTCTCGTCAACACCCCAAGATTATTATGTGAGGGTAAAAGAATTTGACGAGTATGTCTGGCTTGTCGTGACATGAATGACGTGAAAATCCTGACGCCTATGTCGGCAAACCATTTCCTCCAGACACGTGTGGCACATACCAGTATACCACGGCCCGCAGTATGCGGGAATGCCCACAGGTGACTGATAGTTTACGTATATTTATTTATTTTATTTATTTTATTTGTACAATACTGCGAACCTTGAGAGGTCCAAGCAGGAGAGGGATGTACACATCCAGAAGACATGCGTACGGATGCAAGATCGACACATGAATGTGAGGGTACATAATCAACAGGTAAGTATACAATCATTATACATTCAATGACAGCAAGGGTGAACACTCTGGCAAAATATTCCAATCGGAAACAGCTGCAGGGTGTCCCACATAACCTGAGACAGCAATTCGAAAGTGAAAGGCTCTTAGGAGGCGAATTGAACCAAACGCATACTACTCGCACTAGCCTGTAGGTACTCAGGCTATTTTTTATTTCTCCCCATAATAATCAATAACGATTCGTAATTACATCTTTTTTTAATTATTTCAAAAACAGCAAATTTTTTTCTTGTATGATACGTCTAGCACTGTTATTTTTTACGCATTGTAAAGAAAGCCTATAGCAGCACTATAGCAGTGCGCTAGCGGTCCGTCACATGGCTTCTTTCCACATTTCGCGGGCTTTCTTTACAACGTGGAAAGAATAACAGCGCGAGGCGTATCGTACAAGAAACAATTTAGTCGGTGGTTTCTGAAAGTGCTCTACATATCAGTGTTCATATTTTGGGTTTCCAGTCCATAATTCAAATAATAACTAATTAAAAATCAATGATAATCAGTATAGAGATAAATAAAAAAGTAGTCTGAGTACCTACAGGCTAGGGCGAGAATTACGCGTTTGGTTCGATTCGCCGCTGAAGTGTCTTTCATTTTCAAATCCTTGACTCAAGTTATCTGGGACACCCTGTATACTGAGAAGCGTCGAAAACAGACAATGGCAATTTAAATGACAGAGCGTCAAGAAAAACTGAAATTGGCAGCGTTGTCCTAACTAATGCATAGAATGTCCGGTACCCAGCAGAAATCAAACCAAAGCATTCTGCGTGGCGATCAAGTATACTACCACAAAGCCACGCCAGGTCTCGGAACTGCTTTAGAAAAAGACCCCATGCAGATGTAACGTTGGTGAGACGACAATTGCAGTTGCACTGCTGGCTATGTAATTTTTATAAACATTACATATATGTACTCCTGTTATAAGGTGTCAAGTCAAGTTAATCTGAGTAGCATTATGTGCGATCCACTGAATTCGCTCCACGTAGCACACTGCAAGGGTAATTTCCTCGCAAGCACAAGCGCTATCTATCCGCTTCTTATGTTGCTAATAATACTGTTGTTGCTCTTAGTATCGTTACCGCAACTGTAAAAAAAAAAACTGGCTATATAAAACATAAGGGACTCTAGATCCAGCATATGTGTGTGCGTACAAAATTTGTACGTATCTTTAGCGTCAGTTTGTAATGTTTCGCTCAATGAAATTGCACCACAGTCACCTTCTCTCCACATGATTCTCATAACATCGACCCCCATGTATGCGGGATCTGTCCATTTTTTTTTCTCAGGAAGTTTACTATTGATCCTATGTCACGAAAAAACAAGCGTCAAGCTCCTGACTTATCAGAGCGCCGGTGTGAACGAACGTTGAATGATTTCTTCAGGGACACATTAGCATATCCATAGCTTGTATAGGCGCTTCATATAGAATTAATGGCTAAAACAAGAGAGCCCCTATTTATTGCGGCGTGCCATTTTCATGACCTCTCTACCGGGCGCTGCCAGCATTCCTTCTCGTTGGGCTCAGTAACAAATGGCTGTCGTTTTCCCCCTCTAGGCCTAATACTAAGTCAGGTTTCGTGACTTCATGGCGGCGGGGCGATACTACTAGAAGCGATGAAGTTGTGAAGGAGGGACGGACTGTATACTGCTGGCGTCCCTGCTGGTAAGCACTTATGCGTGCCGACGTGCTTACCGTCAACAATACGCGTGTTAACACACTGCCCGTGATCAGTTAACATCGCCCTAATGTGCAACAGCTGCTTTGCAGCCGAACGATCCCTTTCAGAAGCAGGAGGGAATAGGTTCAAGCTTTTTTTGCCGTGAAACGCACGCGATCAACTCGTTTAGCGCTCGCTCTCAACTTCGCTGGGGAACTCGCTCGCTAGATTCCGTGCCGACCAATTGTGCCCTCGCGATCTCCGACGACAGTGCAGCTCTGGCCGACTGGGTTGGTCCTACGCCACCTCCTGACGCCGGTCCCCGACGACGACGACAACGTAGCTCTCGCCGACTGGATTAGCCCTACGCCATCTCCTGTCGCCGACAAGAGCTCTTGCCAGTGGGTGCCCCGTGCTCGGACTCCTGCAACCGTGCCCATCTTTCCTGTCTTCTCTTTACTTCCGTCGTTCGCTGTTCCTGCGCTTTGCTCTCTTCTTCCTCTCTCTCTCTACCTTTTAATCTAATCCTTTTAATTCCTTCTCTACCCCCATCTCTCGTGAGCTACTGTTGAGGTGTCCTCCCCCTGAGAGACAGTACGGGGCTCGCTTTTCTCTTCTTTTCACTTAAAATCACCCCCTTTCCCTCAACTTCGCTAGGCGGTGACTCTAAGCGCACTCAACAGAGGGCGGCGCTTTCGCAATGGCGCTGGCAACGCCGTTTTCGCTACGCGGCGTCACAACACTCTCCGTGGCACTCGTACTTGCGAGGCAAGATATTTCGCCTATATTTTAGTTTCTTTGAAATAAACAATGGTCACCGCTTTATGCACCGAACCATTCATGAAAAAGTCATATCGGGAAATTACTTGCTTTTGCGCGTTGAAATGGCCGGCAAGGTATCGTGCGTGACAGAAGTGCGCTGATAAGGAAGCTGTTGTACGCATTAGTTGCCTATGTAGTCGATACAGTGCATGAGAAAAGTCACGTATTACAGCGGTTATTCGTTTTGGTGCCCTTTAGTGTTCGTAGATGGTAACTCAGGCTACACCGACATGTGCGATCGTCGCTCCAAAATAACTTCTCTCTATTAAGATTGATATGTCCGGCCTTTGATTCATTTCTTTCTTTCAGGTTTGAGTTTTTTTACTTTTTTCATCTATTCATAACTATTCTTGCTCCCCAATCGACTTCTCAATTCACTGTAGAATTCCGGTAGCCCCATTTTTCTATGTTTGTTTAAACCTCTCCCTTTTTTTTCTTGTCTCAAATCTATACTGTCACATAAATGTAGCACGTATACCAAGTAACATTCCGCTGAACCATCTTTCATTGAACCAAGCAACTGGACAGGGAAGAAGAACAGAGGAGTCGGATGTGTGTCGTCGCGTCCTGTACTGCTGAGAAGTTTGTTAGAAGCGGACCATAAACCATCACGACCAACTTTCAACGCTGCTTACGAACATTCTAATCGACTACTGTCGTGCACGTTAAAGTAAACACGTGCACCTTCCTGTGTTTCACGTATGACCACTTACTCGATGACGCAATGGGCCGCCGTGAGCACCCACCGATCCGTAAGCAGTGCTCCACCACAGTGGTGCCTCGTGCCCCTGGTGAATATTTTCCGCACCGAGACCTGCGTGACGTAAACAAAGCGTGAGAGACGAGCATGGAATCTGACGAAGATGGCATATCTAGGTGGCTTATGCATCCGCGAGTCGACACATGGTCTAATGAAATACCGAAATACATTGAAGGAGCTGCAGTATTATGTTCTTAAACTTCCCTTCAGTGTGACTACTTTGCAGTTTATTCTTGTATATATATTACAATCAAAACACAAGAGCAAACTTTAAAGCCGTATATTGGCACATATCAATTATGTAAATTATATTATATTGCAATTTTATTGGCCTGCCGAGGCTCATGGATAAAATATGAGTTAACACTCCCCTTCTTCAACCTGCAGTCTTATGTTATAATGACAATACAAAATTTAAAGCTGTAAAATATTCATGGTCTCCTTCTATTAACAGGAGTATTACAAATTTTTGGCACCGCCTTTTAAATACTTCATTATTAGGTTAAGAATTGTGACAGCATTAAATATTCAAACTAGTCCGGATTTGCAACTATTGTCCTAATTTAGAATCATTAACAAACTGCAATATGTGATATGAGCTCGACGGCAACTTCAGACCAGCAGTGAACATAACTTCTATGTTCGGTTACACGAAGGCATGGCCTCAACCTGCTTCACACATCTTAATTTACACGCCTAGACATTGCCTCATCCTGATTTGCACGAACGGCGAGCGTTCGCCACTTCGCCGTAGTCGATCACGACGGAAACGTTGTGTGGCGGGCTCACAAGTCCACTTGTTCGCAAGGCGTGAGCCGGCATGGCGATGTGGTCTCCGTCGACAGCCTCGACCGCGCATTCAAAAACGTGACCTGCGTCGTACACCGCCTCGAACTCGATGAGACGCCACGATGTTCCGCAGGCTTTATATACACGATTGTAGATGCCGGAGAAAGACGCGATCACTGAAACATCGAAAGGATACAAACACTCGAACAAACAGTATCGCATATACAGCGGAAAGTGCGATAACGAGCGAGAACACACACACACGCACACACACACAAACCCCCCACACTCACAGTTTCACTTTCTTACCCGCAATGCCGTCAGTGGCTTCGGCGCTCTCGTCGGCCATCCGGGAGATTTTCTGGCCCTGTGAATCGGGCCGCAACTAAAACAAGATTTTAATCTCACTCAAAAACGGTCGTAGAAGGCGTTCGTTCACCCTCGCAAGGCTGTTAGTTCGACGAAGTTTGCCTCTGGAGCAAACGATCTGCGTTCAGGAGCTGCAGCGTGGCTGAAAGTGGAGTCCTCAAATTGACGTCACACGCGAAAGGGCGCTCCTTCAAGATCTCGAGGCCAATGCCCAATAAAGTCAATCGAGGGATGGCTGCCGGAATAGCTCAGTTGTTAGAACATCGGAAGGTCGCAGGTTTGTTCCCTGCCCACGGCAAGTTATCTTTCTATCCACTTTTCTTTCTTTACATTTACATTAAATTACTTCTAACAATACCTCTATACTTTTCTGTTCTGTTCTGTTCTAACGGCTTTTCTGTCGAGAGGTAGAGGTCGATATTGCCTCGGCTACTTCATATCAACAAGTTTTGCAGTGAAACAAGAAAAAAAAAGAATTATACTGAATGGTACGTAAAAATGAACAATATGCAAAAAAAGAAAAAAATAATAGCACACTGAAACCAGTTGAAATAACATATAGATATACAGTTCGCTTGCAGCATTCCGCACTGTCGTAAAATGTTCACATGCACACCTTTCTGTTTCTACTCTCAGTGTATCCACTAACACATCCTTTCGTATATGGCAACCCTTGGCTGGATATCAGAAGCGCTTATCCAGCCCGGTCTCTACTAAGAAGTCTGTCAGGAAGATGTTCGCCTTTAATTTTATGTCTAACGAAGAAACAACGAGTGCTTCAGTTTACACTTCTTTCCTTTACTTAAAGTAAGTCATATACGTGACAAGTCAGTGCTCATCCAAAGAAGTAACACATATTCTTTTTTCCGCTTAGATTGTACGTACGGAGTAATAGATCAGCATGCACTGGTACTGCTAGTACGCTCCCCCGTTCAAAGCACTAGAAAAAAGAAGTGCAGGGCGTCCCCGCTGAAATATGTCACAATCGCGTTCCAAGGAAACGTTTCACTCACAGTGTCATAACGTCAGCGATTTTGCATAAAAAAAAAAACCTTGCTTGACTTTGAAGTGGTACAGGATCGATGAAGAAATTGGTGCAATATAACCACGGCGATCACGAATACAGGGGAGAGTTAGTGAAGGCTAGTTGGTTGAACTGCATAATACGAAACTAATCGATAACCACTCGTACACACTTTGTGCGTCTCCCTGAATCCAGATCAATGAGTGGCTGCAACCGCTACACTCCGTCGACAATTATAGAAGTCGTTATTCAAATAACTAATCTTAACAGCATATACCATTCCGGTTGGGTTGTTATTTTCATTGGGGAACGCGTTTTCTGGAAAGACTGCAACGTTCATAGATTTCTTCATAGGTACTTTTCTTTCAGATATTCACAAAACTATATTCTAGGAATATCTGTATTGTTAATTCTTGCCTACTTGTGAGCTGTAAAAGCGTTCACCGAAAATCGCCGCGTAATGCCACGTAGTGCGTTAATGGGTCATTGCATATTTCAGATTGCCGCTCTTGGTTTCCTCGACAAGCAGGTCAGCAAGCGACTGAGTATTTCTCTTTTACTTGTTTTACTCTCTGCATATACAGTGTGCCGTAATAGATTACGGACCATTATATCCGAGAAAATCAGAATATCTCCAATACCTTCTCACTCAGCCTGGTATTTGCATTTGAGCTCTCGACTAGCTACTCTACGTTTTGATTGGCTACTGCTACAGCATACTCGGACATTGATCACTTTCCGAGATCCCGCGGTACGTAAACTTTTGTGGTTGGCTGTACATTTCTTGTTTCGGAAGCCCTCGCACTCGAAGCACATTTTTGCTTTAAAAAGACACTAAAGAGGAAAATAACTTTTTTTTGTATTAGAAAACTGCTCTTTTACGACACAAGAATCGTCACGCTTTCCACGAGAAGACGCTTGGTGCCCAAGAAAACGCGCGAAAACAAAAGGCTGGTGACGGGAAAAGCACAGGAGAAGACAACCCGCATCAATCACTACGAATTCATAGAATTTAATGGCGTCTACTAAGTCCTACGTGTTGCCTGACCATCAAAAGGGAGGTACATTGCCTTCTGAGAGGTCCAGAAACTTGACAAGACAAGTTAGCGAAAATGTTCTTTGGGAAATGTCGCCAAGACACACAGATTATATACACTTTGATATTCCCAATCGGACACGCGGCAGTTTCGGCGCGAAATTAAAAAATGGAACTTTTACCATGTTTTTCTTTCCTATAATGTTAAGCACATAATGATAAAATTAACGTTATTAGAGTTTTCAAAGCAAAAAATAATTTAATTTAAACTGACTCGCTGTTTCACTTTAGTGATCTTTTAAGGCGTGAAATCCTCGGATAAACAATCAAAAATCCTCGCTCCTCCTCAGGTGTGAAATACACGCGGTCACTTTCGAGTGCGCGGCTCTTACACCACACAAGCAGGCAACGTCGTAGACAATCCGTTTGAATATGTGTGCGACGTGTGTGAAAACCTGTGACACATAGAACTTGAGGCCAGTACAAGCTCACGCTACGTATATCCTGGCATAGTCGAACTAAGCCACCCCTAATTTTTTTTTTTCGACTCCACGTCTGCTTCTCTATAAATCGAAGAAAAAAAAAGAAAGAGGGAAGCCACAGAAGAGTTCGAAGAGTCGGGCTGCCGGCGCACGGTCGAATGTAAACACCTGAGTCTAGCGTATTGATTTCGCTCATCGCTCTGCTCAGCTTACCTTGGCCCGGTCGCAAGTTTTTATAACCGGGCGTCATGCTTTGATCGCTTTTCTCTGCCTCGGTCAGTCGGGGTTATTTATAGCGTCCGCGCAGGGCTCGGAACTCGGCCGCAACTAAGGCGTCGCCCTGGTCCGTTTCCGATTCTGCTTTATTTCGCGTGTCGGTAGTCAGTGTTTTTGCGTCTTTGCTTCCTTGAAATGAGTGTGGAAAAACTCACCTGCCAGGGAAACTCGCCTGGAAGCGCCCGAACTCCTCCGATGATGTTGAACGAGGGGTACTCCCATTCCCTTAAACCGCAGTCTGCACAGTGTCATGGGCCGAGCAGATGCCAGAAAAAAGCAACAGCATAAGGAGGTAGGTAAACAACAACAACAACAACAACAACAACAACAACAACAACAACAACAACAACAACAACAACAACAACAACAACAACAACAACAACAACAACAACAACAACAACAAACGTCTATAGGTTCCGTGATGAGTAGCTTATTGGAATGCGGACCGGCATGAATTGCGTGGTGAACGGAAGATTTTGATTGTACGAAATAGAGAAGTGTCACCATGAATCTACACGTGCTAAACCACAACGTCTTGAGCACAATTTTCCGACAAAAAGATAGAACCACAATAAACGCCTTACGCAATAAGAGCGCCATACGCACTTTTGTTGAGACTCGAGAAGATACTGGTATTAATATTGCCACGAATTTTACGTGTCAACATCATGGCGTGACTACGAGACATGGCGTATAGTGGAGGGACTCCCAGATATTTGACCGCTATATGTTCTTTACCCTGCATTGACATTGTACAGTACACAGACCTCTAGCATTTGTCCTTCATTGAAATGCGACCGAGCGGCCGGTATCGAAAGCGCGACCTTCGAGTCAATAGCCAAGCACAGTAGTTCTGTAGCACGATGGCGGACGAAACTTAAGAAGACAGTGCAGCGGAATGCGAGCTGTAATCGTCGTTAGTTGAGGCACTCTTGACCGGACCTCTAAACAACAACAACAACAACAACAAAGATAATAAGAATACATCCGCACACACAGCGACTTATTCGCAGCGAAAAATGCATACACCACGCGATTGTGCACTTGGTACGACATCTCGTGTGCCATTCTACATACGTAGGCTGGTGAGGTGTTGCGGGGTTTTCGTGACACGGCCTATCTTTTATATTTGATACGTTTCAGTATGCACTGAAATATTCTTCGCGTGGGAAGAACGGGGCCGTACTGGTAAGCCAGCGTCCGAACTCTGCAACAAGAGGGGCCAGCAAGCGCGCCTGTTTTTACGTGTTGCAAGTGGACTACGTGCCGTGCGTGCTGCTCCATTCGTTATACGCGTTGATAGATAGACCCAAGGCGGTCACGCCAGCATTGATCATCACTCGATTCACGAACGGATGGCGGCAAGATTGCTCAGTACGTTCATGCGCTGACTGAAACATTATTTATGCCATTCCGATTATTGAATGTTTCCCTACGGAATCCATATCTTTCCCATATACTTTTTACGTATATTTGCCCTTTTTTCTCAAGAATACGGAAACGTGAAATTATTTAAATTATTGTGTACATTGCTTTCTACAACTAGCGACTGGAAAAGATAACTTACAATATAATTATGCAGTACAGAAACACCAAATTAGTAAACCGTCATTTTTGACGCTGCACGATCTCCTCAGTTTGGCTGCTTCTTCCGAAAACATCGAAACATGAAGAGCGCGCTACTGGTGACATCGCGTAAGAAGCATAAACGTTTACCCTCTCAAACCACACACATCACTGGGGTCTATTACAGGCGTCGGGCCATCCGATTTGCACTGCGCGTAAACCAAGGCGGACGTCGCTAATAGAGCACGGGCTGTGCGCTGAAGAGAACCACGACCGCCACAACTTGCGTGAAACCTTTTCGAGATCTGGACGCTAGTTAGGATAAATTAGCCACCACACTCACGGCCTGGCAGTAAATTTCCCGCCACCGGTCCACTCTCCGGAGGACGAGGGGCAGCTCGTTTCTCCCGCGCGTTGTTCCCTCGAGAGCGCATCTCGTGGCGGGCTCGCAGCGCATGCCGCGCAACCGGTGTTTTCTCCGGTGGCCGATAAAGGGCGGCCACGAGAGAAATAAAAGAGGTGGATGGATCCCTACCGTGCGAAACTCTCAAGGCGAGGGGGCCGCGAACGACGAGCAGCAGCAGCGTCACAGTGGCGGCGGCGTCGGCCAGCATGGCTCCCCTCGGTGGCGGTGGGCAGCTCGGACAGCCGGACCACTGACTGTCGCCCCTCTCGATGGAGCTTCTCGCGGCTGCAGGTAAGCGACCGGCCGGGGTCGCCCGCTCCTAAACGGGTTCCCCGCCCGTCCAGGCGTTTTTGGCGTGCCACCCCAAGGTGAGCCCGCTGGACACGACGTCGATGAGGCGGTTAACGCCCGTAGTTTCACTGCGTTCGGCCGCCGACAGGAATAATCGGCGACGACCGCCTTGTAGCACAAGGAAATCCGTGAGCGCTTATAAGAAAGCAAAGCTTCAAGTTTTTCATCCTGGTTCAGGTGTCGAACCCAAGACCAACTCCTCTCCGCGGCGATCGTTCCACCGATTGAGCTAACCAGGAGGCTGAACAGCTGAACTTATAGTTTCAGTACGACGTCATCAAGCAATCTTTCTCTTTTTGAGACGCGTTTTTTGCCACTGGTGGTTTCGGTTGAAAACCGGCACTGGAAAGTGTTGTGTTCTATAGGATAACAAGTTCGAGATAATGTCACCGATCATTGCTTACCATAGCTGCTTCGTCCTAATAGTAAAGGCCCGCGGAAAGCTGAGGCACTAGAATAAAAGAAAGGTGCAGTTAAAACAAAGGATGGCGAACCTAAGCCGGCAAAGGAAATGGCAATCTCAGACTACCTTTTAAACTCCACATGTCTTTGCTTGCTGTCCTGATACTTGTTCGAGGACCTTTTACTTTCTCCGCTTTTCAGTTTTCCCGGCTTCCGGAAAGTGTGGCAGGAAACACGTCTGTCCAGAACATAGATTTGATGTTCCGCGCCGCGACCCTGAGCGCCTGCGCAACAGTGCTTCGCTCCGTTAACTATACACCTCAACAATGGAACAAATATAGGGATCATTCTTTCACGTCACAGCCACTCTAGCGAAGCCGAGGTCTGCTATAGGAGCCCCCTACTGCAGTGTATTGAAGTGTAGGAAGGTTAACGTTTATCCGGTTTTGAAAGTGCAAGAGATATGATATGAATGGAGATAAAGGGACTGCACTGTACTAACCAAAAACAATTTTATATCAGGACGGTTTCCAATAACTGGTTTTAATAGTCCGACGGTATACTTCCTCAATACTTGGCGCAGACTATAAAGATGACATCGATTGCTGTGGCTACGATCAAGCCCTCCAAAGATTCCGAATAATTCTGCTTTCATCTCTTTGCCTCCCACTGCAATTCCTCAAACTCAAACAGTGTGTAAGTGCGATTGTAACATGCGTGTGACATTTGTGTGTAGATGGATGGTTAGTCCTGAACGAAGGGTAAAATGCGGCCCGAAGAATGATGCTGGCTGCCGAGGAGGAGCGCGTCCTGACCCGCACTCGCAAGCACACGCACACATGTACTTATGCCGTCTATCTCACTCACTCACTCACGCACACGTACACTCTCTCGCACACACACACACACACACACACACACACACACACACACACACACACACACACACACACACACACACACACACACACACACACACACACACACACACACACACACACACACACACACACACACACACACACACACACACACACACACACACACACACACACACACACACACACTTTCTCTCTCTCTCTCACACACACACATACACACTCACACACACACATACACACTCACACACACACACACATACACACTCACACACACACACACACTCTCACACACTCAGACACACCTCTCAAACACACACACACACGCACACACACACTCTCTCTCCCTCTCTCTCTCTTTCTCTCTCCTCTCACACACACACACAAACACACTTACACACACACTCTCTCTCTCTCACACTCAGACACACTCGCTCTCACCACCCGCTCTCTCACACACACACACACACACACACACACACACACACACACACACACACACACACACACACACACACACACACAAACACCCCCCCACACACACACGCGCGCGTGCGCGCGCGCAAATACCAATGGTTTTATTATTTCTTTCATTTTTTGACGTAGGCTTGTCTCTTCCTCGCTCACAGACGGCTCAACTAAACTCTATGACATATTATATTCTCCCCTGTTCACGCAGGAAAAAAAAATTGGGAGCAAAATTTTTTTAGTGACTTTAAGAAGTACTGCCATCAGTGTCATGGTTTGAAAAGCATTTGCCGCAAAAATTCTGCTGTTGAGCGCGTTCAGCATACGTAGTGAGGTAATACTACCAGGAGGGTAGAGACAGTGTTCGTTCGTGAGAAAAGCGGGTTGGCATTACGCACTATGCACATTCTTACCTTGAAGTCTCCTTCAATGGCAATGAAATACGATTCTCTTTTTCGAGAAAAGCAGAAGGAAATAAGCATACGATGGAATTGCAGAAACTCCCACTCTCAGTAGTCGGCTGGCGAGCTTCTATCTATAGCCTGAAAGTGAACAGGCAGGCTACAAAGACACCGTGAGGAAATGCTCGGGAAATGAGGGAGTCAAAACGATATTCGCCTCGCAATTCCGCTCGAGTGAGAACGGGGCGAGGCATTGCAACGCCAGCGCGCATATACGTGACCGCCTGCGTCAAGCTCTCATTGGGGGCCGGTGAAAGAAGCGGTGTACGTACGTGCTGAGAAGCACCAGTGGAGCATGGGTAGGGGAAGGTGTGCTCGATGCGAGGCGAGGCGGCCGTCAATCGGCTGCCTACTCGGCGAACGCGAAAACACGACGTGACGGTCCTTCTGAATTCCCCCTAAAGAGGCGGCTACGCGGGGAATAACGAGTGAAAAAGGTTAGGGAGAACAGAGGGTGGGCAATTGTCTTCTCCCGCCATTATACTACGGCGCGCGTAGCACTTTGTGACGCTTCTATAGCGCTTTGTTTTTCCCTTAAGTTTCGACGACGACAAGCTGATGCACGGTTCTCCGTGCGATCAGCCCTATATTTTCTGCGGGGTTTTATATTTTAAGGGAAGCTTTTTATTAGGGAGGTTTAGAATAACGTTCGCAGGTGCTGCGGGCTTTGCGGGCGTAGCGGGTGCCATATGGGTTTTAGAATAAGGTTTGGCCCTCCTAGAGAAACATCTATAGGGACTTCAGCCGACCCGCAAACGCAAATGCAAGGAAACTACACATAGCCTCGACACCAGCGCTTTTCGGGCTTCGCGAGCCGCACGCGCCGCACGCTATTTCAAATTTTTTTGCGGGCGGACCGCAAACCCAAACGGTGCCTCGTGTTATGACGCATTCGCAGTGGCAGTGACTGCATCGCAAGGGCTAGCGGTGCGCTATTCTAAACCTCCTTTAGTAGCACATTTCGGTGGCGACGTTGTCGCCCACGAAAAACTCGGAACCGGTCGGGTTACAGAAGCGCGGCCCTCGAGGTTGCACCGGTCAAGTGCGTATATATGTGTACGTGCCGTTTTATTGTTTTCTTTCGTTTTAAATAGTTGATACTCACTATGTAGTGATGGGCGTGTCTACTATCAGCCGTCTACGATAAGGCGATCTATGATAAGGACGTCTATGATAAGGACAGCGAACGCTGGAAAGCATTCTGCGAATCTCTAGACCCTCATAAACCGCTGTCATATATCTGGAGAACAGTTCGTGGTCTTCGCTCCTCTCCATAACAACGGCACCCTTTTAAAGCTTTGGCACTCCATCATGGAAAAACAGAACTCGAGGTGGCTGAAAAATTTTGCACGAGAGTTGCCGGGAATATTATGAACGAGAGCATCAACGCCGTGATCGTTCCTGAGACGCGATTACCAGAAATGGACATTCCGTTCACCATGGAAGAACTGGAAGGTGCGTTAGTCGCTTCTAAGCGCATGTCATCGCCAGGTCCTGATGGTATTACTTATAGTGCGTTGGGACACCTTGGACAAAAAGCTAGAAAAGAACTTTTAACATGCTTCAAAAACTCCTGGCTCAGAGGCAGTGTTCCCCGAGAATGGAAAATAAGTCGATTAATACCACTTTTGAAATCGGGAAAATCACCATTGGACTTGACAGCGTATCGCCCTATTGCCCTCGCAAGCTGCATCGGAAAAGTGATGGAAAGAATGGTTTTATTTCGTCTCGAGTGGTACTTGGAACGATACACCAAATACCCTTCTTGCATGGCAGGTTTTCGTCGGGGCCGCTCCTCCATTGACTGTGTTTTTGACTTATCGACATTTGTTCAACAAGAAAAAGTCGCAAGTGCATATCAGTGGCACTCTTTCTTGACGTGAAGGGTGCATATGATAATGTAGCTCACGATGCCATCCTCACTTCTCTCGCAGCAATGGGCATTGGTGGACGAATGTTTCAATGGATAAAAGATTATATAACTGGCAGGGGTTTCTTTGTACAAACATATGAGGGTACAACTGCCCAACATTACACCTACTGCGGAGTACCTCAGGGAGGTGTTTTAAGCCCCACATTGTTCAATGTGGCCCTCATTGGTCTGGTGAAGGTTCTGCCAAAGTCGGTGTGCCTATCCATATACGCCGATGATATTTGCCTCTGGAGTGCTGCAGTTACTCGCCCTCAGGTGCGTGCACGAATACAGCGGGCAGCAACCCTCACAACAGCCTACCTTCAGAAACAAGGCCTAAATATATCAACTGTGAAGTGCGCGTTGATGGCGTTTACACGCAAACCAATGACGCCATACCCTGTTTACATCAATGGGCAGAGTGTCAAATATGCATGGACGCATCGTTTCCTGGGCATAATAATCGACAGAAGTCTTTCGTGGAGCCCACATTGTGCGTACTTGAAGAAGAGACTGCTATCTATTGTGCATATCATGAAATTCTTGTGCGGTAAAGCATGGGGAACTTCTGTGGCCTCCATGCTACAGCTGTACAGGGCCCTATTTCTGGGTCTATTGCGCTACAGCTTGCCGGTACTGACTAACACTTGCAAATCGAATACTCATTCATTGGAGAGTTTGCAGGGTCAGGCATTGCGTATCTGCCTAGGACTGCCCCGATGCGCTTCTACTTATGCCACAATCATGCTTGCCAAAGACCATCCGGTCAGGACATATATAGTTGAGGATTGCCTCAGAGCGCACATTTGACATGCTAGC